CTGCGTCGGCAGCGCACCCGGTCCTTCCGGCCAATTACAGATAGAGCGCCGCTGTAGCCAGCACCCCCGGCAGCGCCCGGCCCTCCTGGCGTCAACGCGGCTTGCTACGGGGCAGACGTCGCGAATCAGGACGTACCAGTCAGGGTAGTGGCGGTATGGGTCCCCCGGTATCACCACGGCATCCACACGGCGAGCAGTCACCACATGCTTTGTCCGTCGTCATTGTGTGACGGTGTACATGGCCTGAAAATTGCTCCTGCCCTCATGTGTGTGGGGCGGGGCGCGGTGCTTTTTGTTCACGACGCACCACCCAACAAAGCGAGCGACAGAAACTTGTCGGACGGGAGAGTGGATCGGGGTGGGGGGGTGCAGCGCAAGAGCTGGCAAGAGGCATGTCCCGGTGGGCTCCATGCCGTACACAGCAGCACCGCGCAAACACGAAAAGAGAAATTCTAAAATTGAACGCATTATAACAAAAAAAGTTTAAGTATTTGTTTGCTACATTTTCACAAAAACACTGCCATTCTGGTAAAAATCCTGCCAGTGAACACTGTGAAAAATGTGTTCGTACAATGTACGATATATTTTGTAAATTACCAATCATGAAATGTGTCGTAGCCTACAAGTAGTCCCCGTAATCCCATTCCAAGTCGATACGTAGTGCTATTGTAAATGTACAAGACATTTTCCAAGGGAAATTTTTTCGTAACCCTCACTTTTTTACATTGAAAATTTTTTCGAATTTCTCTTTCATGCTCACTGGTAAAACAAGTGTGCATAATTTAAACACCAAGGTATGTCCAAGTTATGATGCTGCACGTTATATAGTGATTAACTCAAGTTGCACACTTACGTGCTGTGCACATTTTCGACGTTTGCTGGCGACGCCACCTGTAACGACTAATGTGATTCTTTTCGAACATATTGGAAACATATGCGACCTTGCTAAGGGATCATCTAGAAAGTACGTCCGTTTTCCTTAGATTGATTCGAAAATTATGAGAGCTTGGCGCCTGCGAGACTGGGGGTAGGCCATCCCGCAATACATCCATGCGCTGAAGGCATTATGTTGCCTACCTACCAGGCGCTACGAGCGCTTGGACAGGCTGAAATAGAAGGTTCAAAATGGCAAATGGCAGGCATATTTTCTGCACGATCCCTTAGGCAACTATTGAAATTGTTTTGACAAATGCACTGCACTTGCACACTTTGCACACTTAAAAGTTTTGAGCAATTGAACACTTAGTTTATCAGTGTTTGCACTGCGAACCTATTCTTATTGCAAGCATTTTACAGTGTGCACTCATGCGCTGGGGGCCTCGGATGGCCGCGCGACTCGCCCCCGCAATACACTAGCAAATCGATCGCTAGTTTTACTGGTTGGGGAATCTAATTACACGAATCCAGCTGGACGCGGGCCGGACCGGTCGCGCAGCACGCCATCCGATAAATTTGGACCACTTGGAATTTTGTGTGCTCTGCGCGAGGGTGGGCGGCATGCATTAGAGAGAAAGGGGGGGGGGGAGTAGTACTGATGTGTATTGGGCGAACCAGCACACGGGCCGAAATGAAAACATCACCAGCGCCGTTCCAATTAAGGGAGCGCAGATGGGAGGGGGTAGAGGGCTGAAACATAAAAGCTCCCGGACAGCTACTACCGCTAGGTTTGGGCTATGCATTTCGTACGAGCCTTGTGTACGAGAGCGAAATTCTGAGCACGACACAGTTTTCTCATTGGCCTATACCTGAGAGTGACAGGACGGGGACACTGCGGAGCCCTCCTCCTCCCCCACTCGGTGTCGCTGTCCGGTCCCATTAACTTCGGCGCCATAAAGTCCGCCCCCACTCTGCCAGCCCGCAGCGCGCCGCCGTGGCCCGGTATGGGGCTATTAGCACACTTCCAGAGTGCGAGAGCCGCTAGCGGGAGCCCGGCCGGGCGCGCGCGCGCGCGCAGCGAGCCAACTCCCAGATTGTTACGAGAGGTTTATGTACTCCCACCAGATTTTATCCCCCGGCGGCGGCATCACGTACGCCCCCGCCCCACCCCGCCCCGCTAAGGGCGCAAACGTCCTCGCGTCGTCATAAGTCGGCCCCACGGGGGCTCCGCTCGGCTACACTCCGTGCGCGCGCAGCACGGGAGCGCACATAGCGAGCTTCTGCAACATGCAGCGAGGCGCACGGCGCGTGAGAATACCCACGCGGGGCCATGGGACACACACAAAAAACTTCTTCATGGGATTTTCTTTTTGTCACGACGTAATTTAGGACTCTTTGTTCTGAATTCTTGACATTCTCTATTGCCCCCAGCACAAGTATGCAAAAGAATACAAATTAAATAAAAGGTATGCCTGCAATTTTCAGGGTAGCTTTATCATAAAAAGCCATAAAAGCATTATTTTGGGGCCTTCCAGCTCAAAATTTGGCCCATAATAGGCAACATTTACAAGGAAGCACTCGAAAAATACTCACTGGTGCAACCCGTGTTTAATTTTTCACGTCAATTAACGTTTAAGTTCAAGTGTTAATTTTCTTGACACATTGTGGTGTCTAACTAGGTTAAACGCGTCAATTAGTGTTCAATATTTCGACACTTCCAAAAAATACAGCAGCTGCACACCATATGGTTCCTATTGATAGCATAGAACTGTGTGTTTAAGTGTGCAGATTTTAAACGTTTACAAAACGTCTAAAATTTGCACACTACGCATGTGCAACTTTGAGCACGTTGGTGCACTAATTGTGCCCACTTGTTTTACCAGTGCTGCAAATTTTTGATTTAATGGCTTTGATTTTTAAAGTGGTAACACGTCAAAGTACTTTTGGTCCAAAATTTCGTGCATTTTACTTAATTCTAGCCGTAAAGGCGCTAAACGGAATTTTCACCAAAATACACAATAAAAAAACTCCTTAAAGGTCTCCTTTCAAATCAGCAAACTCGAGAAAATTACACCCAAGTGCTGCCTAGTGGGCGGCGGCATACTGTTGAAACGTGTTCAAATTAAAAGGAGTTAGTCGGTCAAACAAAGAAAAGAATACATCCTAAAATTCATAGCAATTTAATATGCGTTTATTCATTGATGGACACGCTGAGCAAAGTCAAATCAGCACTGAATGTTTCATTATACAGAAATGATAAATCAATGCTCATGTTGAACATCGTTGATGTGAATCCAATGGCAATAAGAAGCGTGGTCTCCTGGGAAGGGACACTTGCCTTTAGGATGCGCGAAAACGCCAACGAACTCCTCATTCTCAAGTTCTTTGTGACAGTTCAGTTTACACGTTTTGCACTCGTGCTCGATCGGCTCCACACCATCGAAGTCGGGGTAAAAACTGATGATATATGCTACATCGACATGAAGCAAAGGGTTCCTCGACATAAGCGCTCTGAGTCTCCTGCTGTGTAGAAACTCGTGAGAGCACTTGTCATAATCAGAATCGTAAGCAAGTATCTGGATGCTCCGCAGGGACGGGGCGGTGAGGGGGCTGATGGCGTGCAACAGCTGGTCAGGTTCCACCCTGAGCACGAGGCATCGCAGGGCGGGCAGCGAGGACAGCCGGACCCCTAGCTGAGGCACGAGAAGGATTTGAGATGAGAAGCCATCGACATCGATGGACAGCATCTCCACTTGGGATCGTCCGGACGACGCGAGCTCACTGACCAGCTCTGCGCCGAAATCAGTGTCGTCAACCTCATCGTCGTCAGAATCATCAGGGAAGCAGAGGTGGAGGGAGCGAATCTGGTGCGCGCGGCGGAGGAGCTCCAGGGCGCCGAGACCGTCGTCGGTGACGCGCCGGCGCTGTACGGTGAGCTTCAGCTCCCTGAGTGACTCGCACGCCGCCACCTCCCCAAGCCCCGGAATCAGGGGGCAGCTCAGCTTGCGGAGGTTAGGCATGCCGGCCAGCAGGCGTGCCGTCGACGAGGGGAAGGGCGCGGTGGGGGCGGAGGGGTCGAAGTGGACTACCTCCAAGGTCGCGGCGTGCCCGGCCAGCATGTAGTCGCAGAAGGGCTCTGGCCGGGGGACCAGGTCGCAGCGGAAAGTCCTCAAGGACGGCGTGATGGTGCCGCGCAGACCGGCCCCGGGCGGGATCCGTACCCTGGGGCCCAGTTTCCCCCCGAGACTGACCATCTCCAGGCCGGGGGTCGAGGCCAGCGTCCCAAACAGCAAGTCCACGGCGCGAGTCACGGCGTCTGGACTTACGAAAGTAAGGTTGACCCGGGGACCGTGCGCCAGCAATAGACTCACGCCTCGTAGCCGCCCGAGCGCCTCCTGCTGTTTGACGATCTCGACGATTACCGCCACGATCTCGAGGCGCTCGAGCTGGTTATCCAGGATGGAGATCGTCAACCCACTGGCGGCGCAAGACGTCGTTCGCAGGTCTCCGTGGCGACACGCCGGTGCCGTCGGGACAATCGTGGTCAAGATCTCGCTCGCGCACGGCGCCAGGCGCAGCTGCTGACACGACATGGGACCGTAGCTGCCGACGTCGTTGCTAACGTCAATCGATACCTACAAGGAAGACACACGTACTTCTGGGCTTCCAAGACAGACTCACGTAATTCCGAGGACCGAGGGTAGACTCACGTAGTTCTGATGCCCAATGCAATAAACACGTAGTTCCATAGCCTCTAAAGCAGCATCAAATACAAAGTGTTCCACTAATTGTACAGCAAGTAAATTTCTTGGACCAACTGCTCATGTTAGCAGGTTTAATAAAAGACCACCCTTAAATCAATAGGTCACATCTAC